AATAATATAAATGAATTTGTAATAATAAACAAATTATATAATAATAATAATATAATAATAATAATATAACTAATAATAACTATTCAAATATTTAAATTAATTATTTGAACAATTATATCCATTAAAAAAATAGTTTTCGATTACACATAATTTATATGTGTTCTTACAAATTATTACACTTTATGAAAAAAAAAAAAAAACTTTCGCACTTTATAAAACATTACGTTGCATATTATAAAATAACACGTTGAACTTTATATAATAACAAGTTGCATTTTATCAACACGCTCCACAGTTAACGATAATAATTCCCGCCAAAATACAACACAACATAAATCTAAAAAAATGATCAATATAATATTTTATCATACATCGCATCATATGTGCGTGTATATTTTGTACAATATCATGTGTATACATGCACATTAAAAATTAAAAAAATAAAAATAAAAACTCGTTACAAAATACAAATGTTGTTAACCAGTTGATATTGAAATCTCAACCTAATCGGTTTATTTTTCGGTTAATATTGATAACCAATATTACCGACATAAATTATATAATCTATTATAGAAAACATGACTAATAGTTAATTTTGTTTTTCATTTGATATTCTATATTAGTTTTTTTAATTAAAAAACATTGTATATATGTAAACGAAATACACCGTGCAATTCAATAGTTATTAAAGTGCAATTCTCCCATCAATATGGTGCACGTTGTCGGTTTGTATAGTGCGAAATGAGCCAACCAAACCTTTGTCCCAAATTCAAACTGAAAATATGTAGTTTATTGGTTTATTCAGTTCGATTAACCGAATTATCATAAATAATTGAAATAATATGTTATTTATATTGCAATTATATTTAATATGTTAGTAATTTTATTTATCATTTTTGTATTATTCTTGGTTTAAAAATCTCGAGTTCGGTTGATTTTTATTTTTTTGTGCAATCCGAAAAAGTGCAACGTAATGTTTTTGAAAGTGCAACGTTCTGTTCTATAAAGTGCATCATGATGAAGTATAAAGTGAACTACTACTGTAGGTTTTGGTACGCTATCATGTTTTTTTTTAGTGCAGAAAATGATGTGATTGATATTAAAGTATTATGTATATCCAGTTTTTAGATGTATGTTGCGTGGTATTTTTGGCGGAAAGCTGTTAACATTATTAATTATGGAGTGTCGTAATAAAGTGCAATGTATTGTTTTATAAAGTGCATCACGTTGATATATAAAGTGCACTCCTTTATATGTATAATGTATTTCTGAAAAGTAAATTTAGTAAATTTAATTGTACATCAATATCGCATTGATGATTGAAATAATTTATAATTTATTATTATAACAATATATTTATTGTCTTAATATTTATTAAATAAAGTGTCATTTGTTTAACAACATTGTGTGGTGTGCATTTTTTATGTACAAATATAGTACAATTATTAATTTTTTTACAAATTATAAATTGACCCAATTGACTAAATTGTTATACATTAAAATATACAAAATTGCAATTTGGTCCACTAAAACTATCAAATTGTCAAAAAATGACCCCACAATCCCAATTTTAAGTTTATGCGATTGTCGGCCATGAAGTGTTCAGCCCCGGTGGGTCCTCGTCGGCGGCGTCCGCGAGGAGAGATAACGTGGACCATGTCGCTGTAGACGACTAGGGGCGGTCGGTCTGGTGCTTGTCAAAGAAAGTGGCCGGAGGGACGAGAGATGGCTCTTGCGTGAGGCTGCTGTTGAAGGCGGTGGAAGCCTGTGAGCAACGAGGCCAGAGGCATGGTTTCCGGTGGCGGAATCATTGTGGTGGCGGCAGCAGAACTCCGACGGTAGGTTGGAGGAGCAGGTGACGAAAAGGGGGCAGCTGGCGGCGGTGGGAGCGGCGATGGAGGGGACTCAGGCGAGCGAGGGAACGACCGAAAACGGTGGCGGAGCGACGGCGGTGATGGTGAATTAGGTGGCCGCCGGTGTATGTGTATTTACGCGAAGTGTGTGTGTGTGTGTGTGTGTGTGTGTGTGTGTGTGTGTGTGTGTGTGTTGGTGTGTGTGCATGTTGGTGTGTGTGGTTTGTGTTGCAGAGTGAGAGAGAGATGGATGGTGTGTGTTGGTGTGTGAGAGAGAGATGTGGTGGCCTGGGGTGGCGTGAATGGATTGGTGAGGGGAGTGTTGACAGATTAATTAATTTGGGGTGGGTCTCAATTTGTAGATGTGGTGTTTAAATTACAGTAATAACCTTAATGAGATATATTTTTTTGCTTTTTTATGAATGGTTGGATCATCTAATCCTATGGTTGTGATGTATTCTTATTTCTTTCACTGAGAACCATTCTCATGTGAACCCAACCCTATATATATATAGATTTTCATTAGGAAACTCTACCCCATCCATTTGGATGGTGATCTATACTTATATTAAAGGGGATCTTATTTACTAAATATAGTAGGTAGAAAAGTCAAACTTAATTAATGAACTTCTAATTTTATCAAGTAGTAATTAATGCATTTATAATTTATGCTGACATAAAAAATCATTGTTATAAATCTTAACATAAAAATTTTTGTACGTAAATCCCATAAAAAAATCCTTCTTATAAATTTATGTTGAACTTCTAATTTTTAATCCTTCTCTTTATTGACATAAAAAAATCCATAAAATCGGGTGAGCAAAAACAATCAAAATCTATACTTATATATGAGGTATCCTATTTACCAAATTTAGTAGGTTAAAAAGTCAACGTAATTAATGCATTGTTATTTGTATCTAGAATTCTATTTAATTATTTTATTTATTTGTCTTATATCCCATAAAATCAGTTTAAGAAAAAAAATCTCATAACATCTGATAAGTAAAAAAAAGGACGTAAAATCTTTACTAAAATAAAAAAAGGCTTTATTTATTTATCTTATTCCATATTAACATCGATTTTTTCAAAACAAATCCCATAAAATCGGTGAAATCAAAATTTGTACGTAAAGTCTATCTATACTAAAAAAAGACAGATTCAAAATTCCTTATTTACTTCCTTCTTTTCCTTATCTAATTCCTTCTTATTATCTAATTTTATGGAAATCTATTCTGATTTTGTTAAATTCTCTAATTGTATTTGTATTATATCCCATAAAATCGGTTTAACAAAGAAACCCCATAACATCTGATAAGTAAAAAAAAGTACGTAAAATCTTTACTAAAATAAAAATGACTTTATTTATTATCTAATTGTATAGAAATCAGTTCTGATTTTGTTGTTCAAACCGATTTTTGTATATTCAAATTCAGATTTTCTAATAAAAATATTAACAACAATATATATCTACTCTACCCATTATAAATTACAAATTTCAAAATATCGAGCCATCATCTTCCTCATTATCAATCTCATGTGAACAAAAAATATTCACAATCAGTCTTTTATTCAAAACAATGAATCAAAGATTTGGGTTAATCAAACAAGTCAATAGGTCTAGTAGACCTATGCTCAAAGTTCGAATTGTGAGAATGTTTTTCCAAGACTAGGGCAGCACATACAAATTATATCTCGAGTTGGTTCTGCATGATAAAACTGTAAGCCAAAATTTATTTGAATTTTTGTTTTAATTTCGAAATTTGAAACGTATATTTTTTTCGTGTATGTATTTAGATATTTTTGTACATGTTTAGTGAAATATATTTTTTATTTTTTTAAATTATATTTTCAGATTTGCAATTTGGTTTATTTATTCCACATAGCGTGTATGTATTTAGATATTTACATTATTTATATTTATTTTCATGTATTGTAAAACATTTATTGAATATTGCATCTTATAGTATAATAATCCCCAAATAAATATATCTCGTGCGTCGCACAGGTCACGTACTATATATATTCCGTATATTTTCTTTATTCATTTATATAATTATAAGGTTGGATAAATGACCTTAAAATTATGCACCGGCACGAGCTCTGTACTAGTTTGTATATATTGGTTATGAGCAATTATAGCATTTCCCATCTTTTTATTTGTCGTTTGAAAA